TCCTCTCCAGCTTCCCGAGCTCGCCACCGCGCTCCCCCTCAGTCTGTGTCCTACTTAGCTGAGCTGCAGCCTCCAGCTCCTTTGGGAGCTTTCCTGGTTTTCAGTCTATCGCCCCTATCCACCACCTATCACAAGCACCGTGTGGGGTCTGTCATTTTATCTCTTTCTCGTTATCTTTACACTTAAAAATGCCGTGCTCTGGTTCTTCCAAGAACTTCACGTTACTGCAGTCCTGTCTTTCTGAGCCGTGTCATTTTCTGCCGGTGCTTTGCAGAATTTCCCCTCTCCGTTTGTTTCTTGATTTTACTGGAACATTGTACTCTGCTCATAAAGGATACGGAGTCTCACAAATTGTAGCAGTTCATGCCTCGCTGCTTCTGATGTGTGTCCAGCTCAGTTCTAATTGCAGAATCTCACAGTTTCCTCTCCTTGGCATCCTTTGGAGCAGCATAGACCTGGATCACAGCGGAGTTAAAAGGCTGTCTTCCTGAACAAGTCATGATGATAATTAAGTTGCCTGGGTTGTAGCCAAGTGGTGCTTTTCTGTCCCTATCACTTAGGATTGTGCCAATTCCTCTTTTATGCTTTATTTTGTCATGTGAGAAAATGATCTCGCTATCTGCTGTCTCTCCCTTGCCTGGCCACCTGGCTTTTAAGAGGCCTTCTATGTCATGTTGCTACCTTTGTAATTCATTCATTAGCAAGGATATTTCACCAGGGTGCCAACGTGGTCTTACATTCCAGGTTCTGTAAGAACTAGAGAGGGGAGGTGATTTTTACCTCTTAGACATGCTGATAATAAAACACTACATATAGTTCTGGCTTCCACACTTTAAAAAGGATGCAGGAGAATTTCACTGGATCAGAAAAGTTACAAAAAGTCATTTGAGGGCTGTAGGAGATATGTTCCAAGGAAATGTATAGGGAGCTGAAGGTATTTAGCATATCAAAAGGAAGATCAAGAAGAGATATGATTATGGTGTATGAGTACCTTCACTAGAAGAAAATAGAGAGCACTGAAGGCTTTTTCAACCGAGTAAAGAAAGGCATAAAAAGAACCAAAGGCCAGATATATTCAAATTAAAAATAAATCAGAAATGTATTTCTAACAGTTTGGGCGATTAGCACACTGAACACAGTTTCAGAGAAGTGGTGGATTCCCCTTGAATCTTCAAATCTTCCTCCATGGGAGCTGTACCCTGTTTCTGCAGCAACTTATCCATGATACTTTGGCACGTGAGCTTGAGGCACTTGCGTGGTTTTTTTCCCTTCTTATCTCTCGAGGCCTGAAAATCCAGATCCACCCGGTGCCTGATAATGTTGATATGCAGAGGTGGTCCAGGGGGACATGCCTCCGTGCCTCTTCCCGAGGGGTCAGCCAGCCGGGGGGATCGTTCCAGTGCCCACCGCTCCTGATGCTGACAGAGGTGTGCGCTGAAGGGACCATACAGCGCGGAGCAGCGGAGTAATGCAAAATACTCAAACTGCACTAAACACTGAAATTCCCTGATACGTGATTTATAGCCATGCCTGAAAATCTGTCAATGGATTAATGGCTATTTTTGCCATCATTTTCCTGGCTGACCTCTTCACAGGTGGAGAACTTCTTCTTCCAGCAGCCGCATGTAAATCGTCATTCCATAAGAAACTCACTTGTCCAAAATTACTCTTTTCCTCCTGCTTTCAGTATGACAGCCGCTGGTCATACGCAACTTACGGCCTTCTCAAAATGACTGTAATTTTTCATGGTCCTCAGTTTGAGAATACGGGACAAAATTTCTACCACCACAATGCTCATTCTGCACCACTTTCTGGTTAACATTGAAGTTCACCTTCATCCTCAAAGCATCTTTGTTCTCCATGGAAACAGTTGTAGGTGACAAATGTCTTTTAAGAGAACATCTTAACTGATGTAAAAGTCAGCATTGCTAAAGCTTTAAAGCTTGGAATACTTGTATATATTATCAGTAAAATGTAGAGGGGCATTGTCAACTTGAACTTTCCGAAGCTATTTATCTTTACAAGTATTTTGTTAACTTCAGTGCTTGTAAGGAAATCTAATCCAAAAAGGAGTTTTGTGGGTTTCCTACTGATGTCTGTAAAGGTTATTCTAGGGTAAGGTTAGTGCTTAGGTAATGCCTTAATAAAACCAGGCTTCCTTCACCATTTTGGTCCCTTGCAAAGATCTGTTGAGGGCAAAGTAGATGTAACAAAAAATGTTTTAATTTTTTTGCTGGAAAATTTGGTGTGAGAGCAAACAAAGCTGATTTTTTTTTTCATGAAAAACTCAACTATTAATGGAAAAAAATAGCAATTTTTCTTACAGTGTCTGTAAATTGCAAAGTTATCTTCCAACTGAAGTGCATGTGCCGCCGATGTGCCCACCTCGTGCTGAATGCTCCTTGAGCCTCAGCACCTTTGAGTTAGACACGTGAGCTGCATCTCCTGCGAGGCCAGAGGAGGGGACTTGGTGCAGAATGAGAAATGTGCTTTCATCTCACCGTGGATGCAGAGAGACACTCTTAACCTAGATTTTCATAAAGTGCAATAGTGACACTCCTTAATGGAATAACCGTAGTTTTTTATCAAATTATCTGAAGGCCCTTTGGAGGATATTTCTCCTGTAAAATGGTTAAGGCTTTCACTGGAAAAAGCTTTGAGATCACCCCCTACCCTTTGTATGATTTTAGGAAATAACAAGCTGGTGATAGGCTGTTCATGGAGATCTATCAAGCAGACAATAGAGATATATTTCTCACGTAATCTATTCTAGATGTGGTGCTATTAGGAATATTTTATAGCTGTAGGAAAGGTGCATGGGTAAAATCAAATTGTCAGTTGCTTCTTTTAGCCTAAATAAAAAATAGCATGGACTACTAATGTTGCAAAAGTGCTGTAACTTCAAGAATTGGAGAACTTGGAGCTTGTAGCTCTGATGTAAATCCTGTAATTTTACAGTCCTTGCAGTTTTCTGATGCATGGAGGGGTTTTTTGTTGCAGTGGCGGTAGCTTTTGTTGCCTGTTTTTGAGTGAGGGGTGGATTACTTCTGCTTTACTTGTATCATAATGACTTTCTGATTCTTTTACTGACTTTAAGAGAGTTTGGACTGGAGCTTTCAATGATTATTCGTTAAAGTTGCAATATTGTTGCAGAGACGTATTTTTGAGGGGTATCTGTTTTGAAAGAAATTATCAAACAATATTTAACACCAGGGGCATCTTAACTTACCCTAGCTTTGAATGCTTCATTACAGTATTTGTTATCTCAAGGAGGGCTTTATACTTCTCACTGCAGCCTAAATAAAAATTAGACAGCCTATGTACATGTACAAACACTTGTATTGACCATCAGCCTGCACTGAAAGCAACAGCTTTAGTCTTTCCTTACTGTTGTTAATTTCTCGCTCGTTATCATCCAAAGAGTTCAAAATAAAAGTAAACATTAAGCTCAGAATGCTATGTCAGTTAGAAATTTTTTTCATTGTGAAATAATTGAACATTGTTACTGTATGAGCTTTGCAGTAGTTTAATTTTGACAGCTGCACAACAGACAGTAAATGTTTAAAAAAAAAATTAAAAAGAAATTTTCCTGCAGCAAATCTAATCTGCCTGTGATAGCACAGTGCCCATTTTATGAGGCCACATTTATTCTCATAATTGGCTATTTCCTGTCCTTAAATGCCTATTTATTCATGTCTGCCACCTTTTTCTCAGTTTATTGGCCCTGCGGTCACCACATTATCTTTCTCTTCAAAATCAATTGACATTTTATGAAAAGAGTTTGCTAGATGTTTAGTTTAGTGAGGGTGGCATATAGAACATGTGCTTGTCACATTAAATAATTGCTGTTAAAAGTAGAGTATTCAGTGGCTTAACTATATGTACAATATATTCATTTACTTTATTTCAGTATTGTTATTGTTTTTATTTAGAGTAATGAATTGGCAGAACATTATTGGAGGATGCTCTAAGTAGAAGTATTCCAAATAGTGCTTTTTCACAGAAATTCCTGTGCAGTGCAAGCTAGCATTGCATTTGACACAGGCATTGAATTTCTAGACATGCTTGGAGTTGCGGTCTAGGGAAGCTGAAACTTATGAATTATACAAATTAAAATATTAAAACTTGTAAGCTGCGCACAGACTAATTACTAACCCTAAGGTATTCTTGCTTTAATGATGGTCAGCTCTTTGTTAGCAGTGATACTGTTTTTCCTTCCATGCTCTGCCTTTCATTTTTTAAGGTGTTGCAAAGCTATTTCTGCTGCCTGGCACATATGAAGCCATTCTTCATTAGTTCAGTGTATGGTACAGCCAGGGTTATTCAGAAAGGGATCAAGCAAGGTAGATTGGCTTCAGCCACTCTGCGCAGTTATAAGCAGTCTCTGCTCATTACAACGTGAGACATCTTATTATATAGGAGGTTGTGGCATCAAATTTTATCCTGGATGCCTGCATGAAGCTTTGACCCTGAGCCACGCACAGCTTACTGCAAGAGAGCTGAGCCTTTTGGGTGGTGCTCAAGTCGTGTTTTTCTATGCTCAGTCATGTTAACTCCATCACAATTAAGTCCACACAGATTTTTTCTTTTTAAGAGAGGATTTTTACTCTTGTTAGATGAATGGTATCAAAAACATTCACATCAAAACTTATGTTTTGTGCTTATACAAGTGGTGTAATTAAAAACTACAATTTGCATCTGAAGCTGGATTTTTAAAATTCTCTTTGACTGCGTTCAAGTAAGGCATATTAGCTAACCTTGTTTCTAGTGTATGTTCTTTTTAATATTTATTGTTCACACACATAACAGGTTGTAGCTTTGGAAAAAAAAAAAAAAAAGTCAAGCAAGAGCCATGGGTTGAAGCTGAAGAGAAATCCTTCCAGAAGCTGGGAAGGAATTTCTACTGATTTGGTTTTTTGTCCAGCTGAACGCAAGTAAGCCAATGTGCTCTTGTTTGATGTGAAGAAAACCAGGTGCTGATGGAGAATGTTTGTTTCTAGGTGCCAGGTTGACCTGTCGACCCTGAGTAAAGAACAAACCCACAAGTTGGAGATGCCACTGGAGGAGGGAGAGGGCTGCCTGGTGTTGCTGGTCACTCTCACAGCCTCAGCTGCGGTCACTATCTCTGACCTCTCCGTCAACTCCCTGGAGGACCAGAAGGAGCGAGAGGAGATACTGAAGAGATATGTATGGAGTTCTTCTCTTTTGCCCTTTGTTTGAAAATGTTTGCTTGTATAAATAATAAGTATCGGGTGGGGGGAATATCTAAATATATCCATTATATCCTTATCATGCTCAGACAATGATAATCATTTAAACGTGTCAGTAATGCTATTACGGCTGGTACAGGTAACATCAAGAAGGCTACAAATCCTCCTTATTTTTTATGTCGTAATTCAGCTATTTGATATGAACATGTGACATGAAGAAGTTAATTTTACTGCCGTGCAGATAGTTTTTACCCAGCACAAAATAACTAAGGGGTCAGTCAGTGACTGTACAGGTTCTAGTGAGTTTTTGTGCCAAATGGTTTGAGGTGCCAATAGTTTTTGGCTTTTTGTTGATCATCTACTAAGGGGCAAGAAAACTTTATTTTTTGTCTGCACATTAGAGGCCGGAGCAATATTTTGTATCATCAAAATAATTGTTTTAAACAATATTTCCATTTCAAAATATTCTTTAGCAAATTATTTTCATTTCCCAGCATCCTCACATTACACAGAATCTGTGTAGTTTTATCAAAGGAACAGAGAGGGGAGCTCTTACTCCAGCATTTGCTAATACCTAAATCAGTAAAAGTAACTGTCTCACTACACAGGGAGAAAGAAAAAAAAAAAAAAAAAAGCTATTTCCACTTAAAATTACAAAGCTTTTATTGTACAATGCTGCCAGGTGTTTAGAAAGGCTTCTCTAGACACTCAGCCGTTAAACCAAGCTCTGACTAACAAAGAGCCGCTTAATTTTTTTTAGATTTTAAAATATTCCTATTTCATGACTGACATCCTTTCAATAACTGAATTTAATAAAGATGTACCTTATCAGGCTGTGCAGATAACATGAAGTGCTAGTACTAATGCTGTACAATATTCTTCAAACAGATTAGCAGGATGTGCGCTTCAGCAAATTTATTCTGGCTATCTCCACTGAATCAGCTGTCTGCTAATGCTTGTACAACTCATACACCAATAGTGTTATCATAAACACAGTTTAATAGAGGTGACTTAGTGAGGCTAAACATAATATTCCTAAACCAACTGAGAGCTAAGGTATTGTGCACCATCTTTGAAAAATAATTACAATTAAGGGAGTTATTGCACATTTTTGAATCCACCAAGACAGTCTGTGGTTGTCAGAATAGATCTTTATAAATATAATAAATTTCTGATGGATACGTTTTTGAGGTGACACACTTCTTGCTAGCAAGTGCAACAATACCCTATTTCTGTGGATTATTGTGTGTGATGATATGGCAGTCAAGTGATACTGATGGTTTTGATAATTTAGTCACAGTATAGAAACATGTTGCGACTGTGTATTATTAATCGGTTTTTCTAAATTCTCAATTTTTTGTCCCCGGTGTAAAGCATAATTATGTGGTGTAAGATTGATCTATTTATTTCCATTTCTTACATATTCATGGATATGTGTCTTTTCTTATATTTACATTACTGTATGCATTTGAAAACACTTATATTTTTGGAAGATGTTCATATTGCAGAGGCATGGATTTCTCATTATGTGTTTTTGAAAATTGTAGCGTTGATATACCTTTTTGATAATTTTACTGTTTTTATTAAAATGACTGATGGGCAGCAGAAGAAAGAAATGACAAGGATTAACGAAATTCAAATAGTTTATTTTCACTGATGTTTCATTCGTCTTTGGTATCCATATCTCTACTTGAGAACCGATACAAAGAGTATGCAATTAGCAAGATGTAGCGTTACCCATTGAATGCCTGTATTTTGGGGTTTATTTTTTGTCCTCTTAAAAAATCTAGCTTCCATTTGAGAAATGTATTTTGCACCCTTTCTGCAGCCAAAAACAGTTAATGAGCTGACCTTGCCATCAGATCAAATAGCCTTGGAAAATGACTCTATTACTGTCATTTAACCATTTGTAGCTGAACATCAGAGCCTTACAAATTAAACAGGCATTACTGTTTGAACCATTATTTTACCACAATTGTCTGAAAAGATTAATTCCTTTTGGGGTGAGGAGGGGGGCGCATTAATGGGTACAGACCAAGAGAGATTGTATGACCTTTTCAGAACGGGTGTGCTGAACCCGCGGTCCCCCTTGTCACAGTTTAAAAACCAGAGGAGCTAGTTTAGAGAAGAAGTTGTTAGCATTCCATTTTTATTATGACATTTCACAGTCATCCGATTTAATGTCCCTTGACCAGATTGTCCACCGTGAGACGATGGGCTTGAAATGTTATTTAGAGCATTGATAAAAGGTGAGCAGTTCTAAGATGACAGCGAGTCATAAGGCTGGTGGTGTGACATTAATTTTCTCCATAACAGAGATGGAATAAGACGTCATGGTGACAAGCTGTCAATCAGTACTGGCCCCTCAGTGTATCTCGATGCCATAGGATGGGGTATTGCTTCTCCCATAATAGAGCTGAACTGAGATGCTCTCCCTGACAGCTGCTGCAGCCATACAGAAAATATATTATACAGCCTTTCATTAAAAAAATAAAGAGGACTCATCTCCAGAGCATTTCAATCTTTTCCCATCTATTGAGGGCTGAAAAGATTCACAGCAAATCACGGATTCCTCTGCTATGGAAATTTCAGGCTTCAGAAACCATGCGGGTTTTGAGGCCTTCAACAATAATCACAAATAAGAAGACAGAATATCATCTGATAAATCATTACTTAAAGTTATGTATTTAAAGTAATGTATTAAAGTCATTTGCTTCTCCCAGAGTCTCTGCCGTGGCATTGTATACATTTTCAGCAGTCTCCACAGTCACGATGTGCAGTAAATGAATCTAAGCCAGCTGACTTGCTGGAACTAAAAGTTAAAAATAATTATTCTGCTGCATACCAACAAAGGTAGCGAAGTGAAATACAGCACTGTTGCCTTTTTGCAGAATGAGCTTACCGGGATGAAATTTGGAAAAAAGGGGACTGTTCGGCATTGCAGGAAGGGGGGCAGTTGCTTGGCTCGCTCTGTGTTTGGTTTTTGCTTTGTTTTCTTTCTGCAGCCTGGTGTTTGTTTCGGTCATTGGGAAAGTTGGGTGTAATGTGGAAACATTTTTGTAAATCTTTTCACTTTCATCATGGTATTAAGGCAGAATTATCTCTGTTGTGGTACCAGTTCTGATAAGAAGCTTCCAAACCTTGATCATTATTGTAATAAATGAGGGATGGTGCCAACATGCTTTTGAATTATAGCAGAGCTATCTGTAACACTGTCTCTGCCACCCTCAGCCTGTAAGCACATAAACAGGGGACTGAGCGTGCACTGATTAAAGTTGACCATCAGAATTTTTAAGCCATGTTTCTGATGATTAACATACTAAAAATGGTAAAAATTTATTAGCCATTATCCTGTGATAACATGCATGCATGTATTTGTACGTAGGTAGCATGTGGGGCACTGCACTTACCTGGATTCCACAGTTCAGTATACCAAGGTCAAACCTCCGCTGTAAACAGTAAATGGTCAGTTGGGGCTTGTGAAACTAATATCAGAGTGTGATTTAACTGTTAGAATTGTCTTATTAATAAAAAGACAGGGATGCATATTATATGTCTAACATTTTAATGGGTAGATTATCTATGCATAAACATGTTGTAGTTTTTGCGAGCTGACATTTAATATTTCATTTAAGCATCACCTCTGGTTTTCAGATCAGTGATGTAATTTATTCTGGTTTTCCATAACAGTCGATTTTGCCTTCATAAATTAAAGAATTGTTGGCTTCGTGTTTTACCTGATGTTTGCATTCTCTAGAAATCTGGACATTATCAAAAGCAGTGGAAAAGGTTTCACCTGCACTGCATTAAAATTTTAGAAAAGGCCACAGGCATTAAATGCATTAGTCCAGATTTTAAAATACTTCGAAGTAAAGGTATGTGCTAGTATTTATGAAGAAGGTTTGCAAAGCCAACCAAAAATTAGGCCACATACATATATGATTTAAAATGGATTTGAAAATATAATTTTAGTCTCCTCTTTTGGAGTTCCTCTTCTAGTTATCTGAAAACTGAATTATTATGCCAGGTTTGTTATTAATTGATTGCAGATTCAAAGTTGCATTAGATGTTCTATCATTTTAAATTCTGCAACTTTTAAATTATATTCAAAGTTAGAGCTTGAGAGTTTTAGCATATAACACCTAACTGGTGCAATACTCCCACTTTGTTACTTCTAGTTATTTGAAAAAAGAGCAGCAACAGAACACACTTTCCAAGCAGCTTTCTAAAATGATGTTGGGTGAATAAATATGCAAGTGTTAGTCTATTCTTTAATTTTTTCATCCTCTTTTTAATATATGTAAATATTGCAGAAATTTATGTTTAAAAAAATTAATGATTTATAGTAAGAGCTTTCTGCCATGGAATTGGAACCATCTTTTAATTCATGCTTTTGATCTTTTTTGCACGTGATTATTATGAAAATTAAGTTGTTACAATACTCTTTTGATTGTTTTTACTCATATTATCTTGCAAGCTATATGCAAGCTTATATATACATGTATACTATATGCAAGCTTGCATGTAATGGTCAACTATAACAAATAAAATATTGGCCTGAAGTCACTGTTCAAAATATTATTGGAGGCATCAAAGGGAAAATGTGAACATAGATCTCACAAAAGTATTCAGGGAGAGGAAGTGTTTTATTGTTTGTATTAATTTTGTTAATACACTGCTATAATTTAAAATTTTGATGGGCAGTGGTTCATGTACTAATAGGGGTTTAATTCAGTAGAATTAGTGTTATATAATCATTCATATTCTGATTTTTCCTTTGCATTTTTCATTGGTAAGTTGCAAAATACTGAAAGAAACACTGACAACTGTACACTCTTCAGAAAATAATGTTTAAAAGTATGAATACATTAGCCAGAATTACACTAACTTGTATCTGGGCTAGGGAGGAGACTACTAACATTGCTTTTGATTTGTTGTTTTTGCAATCCAGAATTATTTTTCTTTTTTCTATTTTTTAGCGTCCAATGATGATGTTCCATAACCTGAAGGATGTGGGATTTCTTCAGGTGAAGGTCATCAGGGCAGAAGCATTGATGGCAGCTGATGTCACAGGCAAGGATTCATTTAGTTTCTGTGACAGTAAATATCATAGTAAGACTGGGCCTTTTTAGAAGTGAAAAAAAATACGTTTAAAACAGAAGTTTATCTGAAGATTATTTTCGGTTTACACAGTCTCACCTCCTGCTCATTAAGGAAGAAATCCGCACACAAACAAAACTTTTGTAAGCAAGGCTGCAAGTCATTCTAATGCTAGCAGAGCCCTATGTAGGTTATTCTCAGAAGGGTAAAATATATGTTTTTCTCCATCAGAGTTCCTGGAAAAAATACGTAGAAAATACTTCTTTTTCTAGTAGATAAATATATACAAAATTATCCAAATTAAAGCTGAATTCCAGAGGACAAGGCGAATGAAAGGTGCTAGACTTAGAGACTACTTCAAAGTTGTTGCCAAAAGAACTGCTTGATATCTGCCAGATATTTAGCAAGACTGCTGTTGGTTTCAGATATTTCAAATAAATGCAGTTTCCCATAACTACTGCTTATCTGTTTAAGAAGGGAAATAAGAAGAATCTTTTTTTTATTTTCTATTTTATGTGAAATAAGCAGAATGGATAATTTAACCTTTTGCTTTTCAAAATAAAGAAAAAGTATTTCAGCCATACTGACCATATGTCTCCAGAAATGTCCAAGTTATCTCCTGTAAGTACAATCACCTTCACAGTGCACAAGTTGAATGGAGCAAAATGAGCTTCTTCTGTGTCAGAAAATAGCCATCTCTGCTTTAAAAAAAAAAAAAAAAAAAAAAAAAAAAAGGAAACTATACTAACCTAGCTGGTTTAACTGCAGTTTGGACATACATGTTCTGTTATAGGAGCAGATGTAGGTATATAGGAACATAAGCACTTTTTAATAGTTCTTTGTAAATTAGCATGAGTACCAGTATTTATTTTTTTTCTCAGACAAGGTAACAGAGCAAACATTTTATTGCTGAAACTGATCATCCAGTTTGTGGCACGCAAAATAACAGATTCTATTTTCAGGGAGGTTGGAGAAATGCTTCTAAAGATTCCTCACTCTGCTTTGACCTTATAATCCAATGTGGTCTGAACAGAGAGAGAGATTAAGTTATTCAGGGGCAAATGGGATAATTCAGTCCCTGACCTCGTTCAGTCTTCGACTTTTCCAGATCAACATGTCGTTTGTGCTGGTTGAACAAATTTTTTGGAAATACATTTGATTCAATTAAAGATGTACAGAGATACCAAAAATTTTCAGACATTGCATTTAGAATGACAGTCAGGAATATGAGGAAGAACACTCAATACCTTCCCGCGTCCCACATCTTTTGTTCGTTAGCAAGAAAAAACATTTATACAGCAGATATGTTTTGTAAGATGGCTGTGCATTCCAGACATTAGAGAAATCACTGTATATTGTGGACGAAAATACCTGGTATTTTGAAAAGGTTTTTTTTTTAAGTACTGTAGTAATTTATAGCTATTTTTAGTAACTTGTGGGTATGTACAGATCATTTGTTTCAGATTAAACTTCAAATAGTAATATTTAGAAATAACTCAAAGTAGTTATTTGGTGATTGTCAATAAATCATGTTTGCAAAAATTGTATAAAACTTGACCCTCCACCTTTATTCAACTGAGCAATACTTATTAGTCAGTGTGGAGAGTGCTGTCATCAGTGATATAACTTACACAACTCAGGATTGCTTGTGTGAGTAAAAGCTAAGGACTAGTTTGCTCTTCTTACTATATTTTTTATTCAGAGTTAATCTTTTGTCCTCCCCTGAGTCAGAAAAGTAGCTGAAACACCTGTATAGTACCTGTGTGGTTTGCTCTGTTTCCTGTCTGCTGAACATATCCCATTTCACTTTCAGGAATCTTTTGATGTGAAGTAATAAATCAAAATTTGTTAGTTTGGACTGAGTGGATTTTAAAAATCCTTAATATTCCATCATTAAGCATAAGCATAGACGGGAAAAGATTCCTGTAATCTTTTAAGTAGTCATCAATCTTACTACAGTTGCAAGGATTTTTTTTTTTCTCCTTTCAAAATGCGAAATTTTTCTTTTGTTACCATACATTCATTGAGCAGCATTGTAATACTGTATTAACTCTGTGTGAATAAAGAGCAATTGAGACTCCCATTGAATGAATGAGTAAAAAGCACAAATTACTTTTTAATGAAACCCTCAATTCTCCTCCTTTCCACAGAAAGCCCATAGCCTTGTTCAGCTGAATGCTACTACAGTAGGTCACTTCAGTTAAGCCCCTAATAAACTGTTGATAGTTGAGGGCAGTTTTTTCTCCAGTCTCAATAGCCCGGTGTTGGACAGTGCACTTCAAATGATTAACGTTAGTGCAGATTTTTTTTTTAAAAAGAGAGAGATAAAGGGTGGTGTTTCAGGCCTCAGTTTACAACCCCCCCACATACACACGCCTTGAACAAGGCGCCAGGGTGGGCTGAAATTTCGGTGAAGTTGTGCGCACGGGGAGCAAGTGGGCACTACTGGTTTGAAAGTGGGACCCTGCTCGAACGTGCCATCACTGGGGTTTAGAAATACCCCAGAAAAGAACAAAGTGAGACTTCTCACTCAGCCTGCTTGCAAGGAAGTCTAGGAAAGGGAGGACTACTGAGGGGTTAAGAGATTCCCCCCCAGTGCTTGAAAGCTAACCTTGATTTTGGGGAGAGCTGAAAAATAAGAGTGTCTTCCAGGACTGGAGCCTTTGAGAGAATTGCCAGGTCTATGAGGATGTTTCCCCCAGCGAAACAGCATCTGTCCATGGTCAAAACACAATTTCATGCAAAGTCATGTTCTGTTGCAAATTGTGGTCACAGCAAATACCCCTTGCTGGAAAATACGTATTTTTTATGTGTTTTTTTGAAACTATAATCTAACAAATGGAAAGACACTGAGTGTGGCGTTTACTTTTTCCTTCTCCTCGTGAGAAGAAAGTGTCATTTAAATCTCCCATTGCGTTTTAGCTATTCAGCGCAAGACTATTTTCTCCCTAAATCCTCAGCTAAAAGAAGTCACATTTTCCCCTTTGCCCACATCTTTGCTTGCTTGTGGTTCCTCTGGAAGAGAGGCAGACCTTCTCGAGGGTTCGGCTGCTTGCGGAGCCCTGGCGTTGCAGCCTGCGTGCCTACAGCGACGTCCTTTTTCGCGAGGAAATATTCCGATGGTGCAGTAAAACGCACAGTGCAGTGGACTCATCGTGCCAGTCGGCCTCTGAAATTAATACCTGTTCTGTTCACCCAACCCATACGAGTTTTGGAAAGCAGTAGACCCTTCACCATGACCTAGTGCCAGTTTAGGCAATAGTCAGCTAAGAATATTCCTTCTGCAGCAAAGTGAGGTACAGCTGGGTCATGGAGGAAGGCTGCTGCCTTTGCAGGCGGTGCTTGCGTCTCCTTTGCTGGGGCAGATGCGTTCCTCCTTTTCCTTGTACCACGAAGCAAAATTCAAAACCTCTGCCTTATAATTGGCGAGAAGCAGGCAGGGTGGGAAAAGATGTGCCACAGGTTTGATCAACTTCAGCAAAAAGTCCCATTATTTTAAGGAATAATGGTTAGCGACTCGGATTCATTAGCAGAGCAAAATCCAAGCTCCGCGCGATGGCCTGCCTGGAAAACAGTTTGTTTTGCTGTCTTTGGGCTTTAATTAAGACGTGTTCAATTCTAGCCCCCTGGCTCCCCGCTCCCCCTGCCCCCACCCTGCGTGCTGTGTCACAGACCGGCGATCAGACGCTTTCAGATGGTCCAGCCCATGACTTTGACCTTCTGCGCGGTCCGGCGTTCCCTGGGGAACCGTTCAGCTCATGAGGTCTGATTTCACACTTCCAGGATGCCTCGGCTCTCTTAACAATGACAGGGAGACAAAGCCCTTTAGAGCGGGCCGCATGGGGACTTGTTTAAATTGGAAACTAGAGAGGAGTCAAGGAACAAGGTTACAGGCTACAGAATAGTGCTTTTAATAAAGAGCTCACAGCTCTGGTTCAGCTCAAAGAGGGCTACCTCTGTACAATTAATTGAGACATTTATCTGGAGCATCTCAGGCCTCTACTTTCTCACAGAATTATGTGATAAATATCAGCTAAGAGGCAAATGAGATGTGCATGAAATGAATTTTTAACACTTTGATTACTGTGTCTCCAGTCTTCATTAGAAGTAAATTTATTTGTATTTCTGACCTCATTATTAATCAATTGTCTGCGGGTTTTTTTGGGTACTGTGATTTCAGAACCTGGTGTATCAGACAGATTTTACTAAAGAGCTCGGTGATATTTAGGTTTACAGTCAAAAGCTTTTCAGGCTTCTCCTCCTCTGAAGAACAGAAACGAAGCATAGAAAATGAGGCAGAATTTTTTTTTTTCTTCTTTTTCAGTTTTATGTCTGGAATTCAGCCTCTCTTCTAAGAAAATTCCATGTTAAAATTTTGATTAAAGTACTTGAAAGTAGGATGAAGATACCAAGATGGCTAAATGTGCAGAATGTAAATGAGTTTGCTAAAATCTGTTCTACTAAAATGTCCTAATACCACATGTGCAAAAATAGTCTTTGAAATTGTTCTTCAAATGCTAGGAAATGTCAGAGTGATGTACACAAACGTAAAATTCACAAAGGTATGGAAGCCCATGCATGTAAAATTGAAGGAATAAATTCAGAGACCCTTTGGAAATATGGTTCCAAAAGTAATTTGCTCTGTCAATTAGTGCAACCGGATTTCAATATACACTTGAATTATCTTCACAAAGTACGGAAATCTACTAGATGGGCAGTATTCTATGGTAGATAAAATCTCACCTGGTCCTATCATATAGGTTGCCTGAAGACATCGGTCCAATATCATGTACTGCAGAACTACTTTATTTTAAGAAAGTAGCAGTTTTAGGATACTAGTGGCAAAATTAGGATTTAAAAAACATTTTTGGTTAACCATAGCATTTAGAATTAAATATACTTGTGATTATTAACTTTTTTTTTTTTTTTCATTCTGTAAGTATTCTGTGGAAATGAATTTAACATGATTGTGG